CCAAGTACGTGCGGGGCAACCTCAGCTCCAAAGAGGTGAGCGTGCCGGGCCCTCCCCTGCCACCCGCCGGGCAGGGAAGAGAGGGAGGGGAGGGCAAGGGGCTGCCCCGCCCCTCTCAGACGGACCGAAGGGAGGGAGCCGGGGGCCAGGGGGGACTGGGTCAGGGCTGAGGCTGAGGGGGGCGGTGGGACTGAGACTCCGTGGTTGTAGGAGGGACACTGAGGTCAGAGCTGGGCGGGGAGGGAGAGTCGGAGTTTGGGGTGGGGGCGGGAGGACAGCGAGGTGGTGCTGAAGGGACAGCACTTTTTACTCCTCCGAGAGCCTGAGTTCACGCTGGGGCTCAGGACCGGGAAAGGGCCATCTAGAATACTGCCAAGCTCAGGGTGTCTCTGGGATCACGGGCGGCGTGTGGGTAACCGGGCGATGTCAGTCCGATGGTATCTGGGGCAGAAGGTGGCCAGGATGGGGATCTGGCCTCCAGGGTCTTTCTCAGGGCACCTGGGCAATGGGAAACGTGTTTGGGGAAGGGGCATCTGAGGCAGGAATCCTGGAACCACGGTGAAGGGATCACGGACGAATTTTCGAATTTTGATCCCCTTAGGGCTTAGGCTTCTTGGGAGACCAGGTACGAGGGTGGGGAAGAAAAGTTGAGGGTCTGTACAGAGTAGAGGAGAGTCTCAAAGGGCTGGGAAGAGGGTCTGACTGGGGCCCTTTTCCAGGACTGGGTGTTCCTGACAAGATTTTGCTTCCTCTCGGATTACGGACGACTGGACTTCCGTTTCCGATACCCCGAGGTGAGCTTTCCCCAACCATTCCCACACGAGGCTGGCTGTTCCCTTGGCCTTCCGAGGCAAGGGCTACCCCAGCTCCCACACTCGCCCACACCTTAAAATCTCTGGGCCTGCAGGCCAAATGCTGTCAGAACATCCTACTCTATTTTGATGACCCATCCCAGTGGCCGGCTGTGTACAAGGCAGGGGACAAGGTGAGGGCTGTGAGGAGGATGGATGGGAGGGAGAGGTTGAGGCTGGCCGGGGAGTGACCATGTCCCTATCTTCCCCAGGATTGCCTGGCTAAGGAGTCAGTGATCAGGCCTGAGAACAACCAGGTCATCAACCTCACTACCCAGTATGCCTGGTCAGGCTGTCAGGTATGGGCCCAGCCTGGGGGAGTGGGCAGGTGCTGAAGGTCAAGGGCCTGAGGACAGTGCAGACAGGCTTCAGCCTTCTCGCTCCTCCCCAGGTGGTATCAGAGGAGGGAACCCGCTACCTGAGCTGCTCCAGTGGCCGAAGCTTCCGTTCAGTGCGTGAAAGGTGGTGGTATATCGCGCTCAGCAAGTGTGGGGTAAGGGGCTGTCCTGGCCACCTGGGTCTTTTCCTTCTTACCTCCCTGCCAATCCCCTACTTAGGCCTCCTCACTCCCCACAGGGAGATGGGCTGCAGCTGGAGTATGAGATGGTCCTCACCAATGGCAAGTCCTTCTGGACGCAGCACTTCTCTGCTGATGAGTTTGGTGAGCATATGGAGACCCGAAAGCCAGGATCGTTGAGGGATCCCAGAGTTGGGTTCCTGCTGAGGGACAGCAGCCTGACTGAGCCATATTCTCCTTCCACCAAATTGGCAGGGATCCTGGAGACAGATATGACTTTCCTCCTCATCTTCATCCTCATCTTCTTCCTCTCGTGTTACTTTGGATGTGAGTCCCGCACATGGTTGGGGCAAGGTTGGGGGAGATGAGCTGTTCTCCCTTCCTGTCTGTGAACAGCCTTCCCTACCCCCACCTTCCCAGATTTGCTGAAAGGTCGTCAGTTGCTCCACACGACTTATAAAATGTTTATGGCTGCAGCTGGAGTGGAGGGTGAGGTTTAGAGTATCTCAACCTTTGAGTTCTGTGAGAGGAGGGACCTGAGGCCCAGACATCAGGGCCTGAGGGAGGAGGGGCTGGAAACCTGGACTCCTGAGTCTGAGGTGGGAGCGGGTGGGGGGCTGGACTTCTGGGTCTGAGGGAGGAGGAGGCTGGGGGCCTGGACTCCTGGGTCTAGAATCCTGATGGGGGCGGAGGAGGGTTCTGGTCACCTGGATCACAGTATTAGGGATCAGTGATGCACCAAAGCCAGTTTCTGTCCTTTCCTTTATCTGCCCATCCTCCCCTCAGTTCTGAGTCTCCTGTTTTTCTGCATCTACTGGGGCCAGTATGCCACTGATGGCATTGGCAACGAGAGTCTGAAGATCTTGGGTGAGAATGATGGGGACCAGGGCAGGTACTCGGGCTCCTCTGCCACCCTGTCTGAGCCGCCCTCTCCCTCCCTTCTCCCAGCCAAGCTGCTCTTCTCCTCCAGCTTCCTCATCTTCCTGCTGATGCTCATCCTTCTGGGGAAGGGATTCACAGTGACACGGTGCCCAGGCTGGGTTGGGATGGACTGCTGGGAATGGGGAGTGGCTGGGCTGGGGGGTGGCCACCCCCTCCTCCCTGACAACCCTACTCCTGCCATCTCCCCTCATGGCCTGCTGCCAGGGGCCGCATCAGCCACTCAGGTTCTGTGAAGTTGTCTGTCTACATGACCCTGTATACTCTTACCCACGTGGTGCTGCTCATCTATGAGGCTAAGGTGAGTCCCACTCACCACTGCCCAGGCCCTGCTTCTCCCCCCCCCCCCCCCCCCCCCCCCCATGGCTTCCTCTTCCTGTCTGCTAGCCCTCCATATTGCACTCCTGGCTATCTCTCTCCCACTCTGTGATTTCCCACCTTCCCATCTGTCTAAGTGCATTCCTCCCCTCTTCACTGTCTCTGAATAGCTTCCCCCCCCCTCCCTCTGTCTCTCACACATTTGTGTTCAATGCCATGACCAAGAGTTCAGGAATCACACAGACCTGGATTCCATGCTGGCTCCGCCCCCTCCAGTAGGACCTTAGGCGATGGCCCCCTCTTTGGGCCTGTTTACTCCTTTGTAAAATTAGGAAGATCTTACACACCCCAGAGGTTCCTCTAAGGCAGCGGTTCTCAACCTGTGGGTCGCGACCCCTTTGGGGGTCGAACGACCCTTTCACAGG